TCATTAATATATCTTCATGCTCAAGATCAATTCTTCTTTCAGTATGAAATGTGTCTTTGTAATCATATATAACCTGTATTATGATGCCTATGTCGGTATGCAACACGCGCATTCACATTTAACACCTACCAACGGNCTTTCTTCACAAAGTGCACAATAAATGTTCTTAGCCGCTGCACTAATAGTTAGAAATAATTTCTGAACACATAAAAATAATCAGTTCAACTTCTGATAATGAAGACTCTTTATATTATCCACTTGGAGGGTTAGATTGATTTTCGATGTATTTGTGTGTGCTCATATTTAATATTAATACGGATAATTGTCTTTGTTAAAACTTTATACCGAAATGATCCATTACGTCGCCTTACATACGACCGATATACTAGAGTGTTCATACTAACATGAATGCCATTACATAAATATTACAGAATAAGAAGGCATTCTCGCACTGATAAAAACAGAGCTTTTTTTGAATACCTCTTACGTAATACAAGAGTTATTTCTCATTTTCTAAGTTGTTATATGGTCTATTGTAATCCCAAGGTGATACATATCATTGTGATTGCACTAGGTTTAGCGATATGGAGACAATGGCAGCAGGAGATTCAGGATACCCTTAAGGATATTCCTACAAGACATGACTTAATCGCAATAAAGGAAGAAGAAGGTATGATAAAACGATGACACGTTGTTCAATTATAGATAAAATCCTAATACGTTATATAAAGCCTGCGGATCACGATCCTCTTTAATATCTGATAAAGGACAATTAAAAATGGTATCTCAGTTGTTAATAATGTTCGATAGTATCTCATAGACTATCCAACACTTACCTTAGAGTTGTCGTACAGAAACTGTCCTATAGAGTATCATACAAGAGCCTGACTACCCTACAGTTAATTGAGAGTATGATATAGGAGCTTGTCTACCCTACAATTAATTGAGAGAATCGTACAAAAGCCTGACTACCCTACAGTTAATTGAGATTATCGTACAAGAGCTTGTCTACCTACAGTTAATTGGGAGTATCGTACAAAAGCCTGACTACCCTCCAGTTAATTGAGAGTATGATATAGGAGCTTGTCTACCCTACAATTAATTGAGAGTATCGTACAAAAGCCTGACTACCCTACCGTTAATTGAGAGTATCGTACAAGAGCTTGTCTACCTACAGTTAATTGAGAGTACCGTACAAGAGCTTGTCTACCTACAGTTAATTGGGAGTATCGTACAAAAGCCTGACTACCCTCCAGTTAATTGAGAGTATGATATAGGAGCTTGTCTACCGTACAATTAATTGAGAGTATCGTACAAAAGCCCGACTACCCTACAGTTAATTGAGAGTATAGTACAAAAGCCTGACTATCCTACAGTTAATTGAGAGTATCGTACAAAAGCCTGACTACCCTACCGTTAATTGAGAGTATCGTACAAGAGCTTGTCTACCTACAGTTAATTGAGAGTACCGTACAAGAGCTTGTCTACCTACAGTTAATTGAGAGTACCGTACAAGAGCTTGTCTACCTACAGTTAATTGGGAGTATCGTACAAAAGCCTGACTACCCTACAGTTAATTGAGAGTATGATATAGGAGCTTGTCTACCCTACAATTAATTGAGAGTATCGTACAAACGCCTGACTACCCTACAGTTAATTGAGAGTATGATATAGGAGCTTGTCTACCCTACAATTAATTGAGAGTATCGTACAAACGCCTGACTACCCTACAGTTAATTGAGAGTATGATATAGGAGCTTGTCTACCCTACAATTAATTGAGAGTATCGTACAAAAGCCTGACTACCCTACAGTTAATTGAGATTATCGTACAAGAGCTTGTCTACCTACAGTTAATTGGGAGTATCGTACAAAAGCCTGACTACCCTACAGTTAATTGAGAGTATAGTACAAAAGCCTGACTATCCTACAGTTAATTGAGAGTATCGTACAAAAGCCTGACTACCCTAACGTTAATTGTGAGTATCGTACAAAAGCTTGTCTACCCTACAGTTAATTGAGAGTATCGTACAAGAGCTTGTCTACCCTACAGTTAATTGAGAGTATCGTATAAAAGCTTGACTTCCCTACAGTTAATTGAGAGTATCATACAAAAGCTTGTCTACCCTACTGTTAATTGTGAGTATTGTACAAGAGCTTGACTACCCTACAGTTAATTGAGAGTATCGTACAAAAGCCTGACGACCATACAGTTAATTGAGAGTATCGTACAAAAGCCTGACTACCCTACTGTCAATTGAGAGTATCGTACAAAAGCCTGACTACCCTACCGTTAATTGAGTGTATCGTACAAAAGCCTGTCTACCCTACAGTTAATTGAGAGTATCGTACAAAAGCCTGACTACCCTACAGTTAATTGAGAGTATCGTACAAAAGCCTGACTACCCTACAGTTAATTGAGAGTATCGTACAAAAGCCTGACTACCCTACAGTTAATTGAGAGTATCGTACAAAAGCCTGACTACCCTACAGTTAATTGAGAGTATCGTACAAAAGCCTGACTACCCTACAGTTAATTGAGAGTATCGTACAAAAGCCTGACTACCCTACAGTTAATTGAGAGTATCGTACAAAAGCCTGACTACCCTACAGTTAATTGAGAGTATCGTACAAAAGCCTGACTACCCTACAGTTAATTGAGAGTATCGTACAAAAGCTTGTCTACCCTACAGTTAATTGAGTGTCGTTCAAGAGCTTGTCTACCCTACTGTTAATTGAGAGTATCATACAAAAGCTTGTCTACCCTACTGTTAATTAAGAGTGTCGTTCAAGAGCTTGTCTACCCTACTGTTAATTGAGAGTATCATACAAAAGCTTGACTACCCTACTGTTAATTGAGAGTATCGTACAAAAGCCTGACTAACCTACAGTTAATTGAGAGTGTCGTACAAGAGCTTGTCTACCTACAGTTAATTGAGAGTACCGTACAAGAGCTTGTCTACCTACAGTTAATTGAGAGTGTCGTACAAAAGCTTGTCTACCCTACAGTTAATTGAGAGTATCGTACAAGAGCTTGTCTACCCTACAGTTAATTGAGAGTATCGTATAAAAGCTTGACTTCCCTACAGTTAATTGAGAGTATCATACAAAAGCTTGTCTACCCTACTGTTAATTGTGAGTATTGTACAAGAGCCTGACTACCCTACAGTTAATTGAGAGTATCGTACAAAAGCCTGACTACCCTACAGTTAATTGAGTGTATCGTACAAAAGCCTGTCTACCCTACAGTTAATTGAGAGTATCGTACAAAAGCCTGACTACCCTACAGTTAATTGAGAGTATCGTACAAAAGCCTGACTACCCTACAGTTAATTGAGAGTATCGTACAAAAGCCTGACTACCCTACAGTTAATTGAGAGTATCGTACAAAAGCCTGACTACCCTACAGTTAATTGAGAGTATCGTACAAAAGCCTGACTACCCTACAGTTAATTGAGAGTATCGTACAAAAGCCTGACTACCCTACAGTTAATTGAGAGTATCGTACAAAAGCCTGACTACCCTACAGTTAATTGAGAGTATCGTACAAAAGCCTGACTACCCTACAGTTAATTGAGAGTATCGTACAAAAGCTTGTCTACCCTACAGTTAATTGAGTGTCGTTCAAGAGCTTGTCTACCCTACTGTTAATTGAGAGTATCATACAAAAGCTTGTCTACCCTACTGTTAATTAAGAGTGTCGTTCAAGAGCTTGTCTACCCTACTGTTAATTGAGAGTATCATACAAAAGCTTGACTACCCTACTGTTAATTGAGAGTATCGTACAAAAGCCTGACTAACCTACAGTTAATTGAGAGTGTCGTACAAGAGCTTGTCTACCTACAGTTAATTGAGAGTACCGTACAAGAGCTTGTCTACCTACAGTTAATTGAGAGTGTCGTACAAAAGCTTGTCTACCCTACAGTTAATTGAGAGTATCGTACAAGAGCTTGTCTACCCTACAGTTAATTGAGAGTATCGTATAAAAGCTTGACTTCCCTACAGTTAATTGAGAGTATCATACAAAAGCTTGTCTACCCTACTGTTAATTGTGAGTATTGTACAAGAGCTTGACTACCCTACAATTAATTGAGAGTATCGTACAAAAGCCTGACTACCCTACTGTCAATTGAGAGTATCGTACAAAAGCCTGACTACCCTAACGTTAATTGAGAGTATCGTACAAAAGCCTGACTACCCTTCTGTTAATTGAGAGTATCGGACAAGAGCTTGTCTACCCTACAGTTAATTTCTCGTATAATTAACAATCTAGTGTGTCTTAATTATAGCTTTCCTATTCGTTATTTTTGTTATTCAGACTAAATTCTTCCAACACACTGTTTAGGTAAGGCACATGGAAAAAAATATATGAGAAGTTTCTTTCATACAGCTGTTTGTAACGAAAACTCATTTCACTCCTGTCATGACCTTAAATGGTCATATCGGTATGAATGTTGTCACGTATTAATGCCTTAATAATTCGGCAAGACATTGTAAGGATAGATTTATTGTTTTTTTGACAGAAACATTTTCTTAGATTTATGAATTAAAGTACAATGCAATAAATAAATTAACATTCATTAATCGAATGTACATTGTTCCACAGAAAGACTCCGTACACGTCTGTGCCTAGCGATCAGTACCATTGTCCTACTGGTGGGCGCTGTACTCGTCCAAATAGGCCGTTCGACCCTCATTGCTGAGACTACAGAAGGAAAATGTAATGTGTCATTCTTCAATAGATTCATAAAAATACTTACATTATACTTCTTGTTTACAGACGAATTCTTTATTGTCATTTCGTGTAAGAAAAAGCCACTTCATCAGTATCCAATCAACGCTTGTAAAAGACGTATTGTTTTGCTTCCGCCTCTAGAATTTTACGGAACTCTTTGATCCCCTTCCTTGCCGCTCTTGGTATTGTATTTTCGTATCGAGTTTGAAGATATAGTGTAGTTAAACTTGCTAAACGTCTGTGTCTCTTGCGTTTTTTAGGTGAAAACCAGCACGATGTTCACAACACGTATGCTCTCGGGACCCTAGGTAATAGCTGGTTCCACAATCACACAGATCTCCAGCTGTTTTCCGGACGGGAGGGATGGGTGTTTCTCCAGTATCCCATTGAGTATAATATGTCTATTTTTCCGGGAAATAACAGATACTCACTTCTAGACAAGGACGCTGCCAAACTGCAATTAGATGAATCTTTACACAGCATTAACATAAAGTCTGCGACCGAATATCTTTATTTATACATTACGGAAACCAGAGTGATGCCACTTTCGCCATACCTGCGGACAAGTGTTCGCATGACTACATTATACCTATGCAAATCTTTGGTGATACATCGATGGGCAAAATAAGCTTGTTCCCACCACATGACGACTCGAAAGTAACAATAACATTTAGACAAGTTTCGGGATTAGTTAGTTTCAAGAATAGACTGTACAAATCGGGTGAGTATGTATCTGTATTTATTCCGAGACGAAAGATATTGACAATTGCACATAGCGTTAGTTTAGCAGGTACAACGATCCACTCAACAGTACCAGTATGTGTGATGTCAGGGACAGGGTATAAAGCTGACGAACCCAAGTGTAAATCTGTCATCACCACAGTTCTTCCTTCAACTCAACTATCACGGTCTTTTATCGTACCAAACGTTGTCAGTGCGTGGAGTCTGGTACAACTGTTGTCCATCAAGGACAAGAACAGTGCTGTGCTAGACCACAACGGCAGCAGGGAGCAGAGGATTTTAAAAGCGTGTGAGCCGTACGACAGACACATTGGACTCAAGCCAATGGTAATCACCAGTGACCATGACTTGGTCGTTACTGTACTAGCCAGACCTACCAAGCCAAATCCCTTTTTACTGTGGATAGTAGGCATAGATCAGTATCGATCGAGCTACCAATTCTATATACCGTACTACACAAACAATTTCATTCATGAGCTGTATGTTATTTGTAAAACAAATCTGAAGGATGAACTACGATTAAACAATGAGTTAATATATCCTACACCGGACTCCAAACAAGAAGTTCGTGTCGGAAGTGAAGTGTACGAAGGTTTCCGCCTGAGCGTCCTTTGTCGTACTACCTATGTAATGGAACATAAAAGCATGGGAACGTTTGGACTTTATATCTTCGGATATCCTGAATATGCCGAAGAAGATTCCCGGTACGCGTCATACGGATACCCTGCAGGAATGGTTCTTCACTAACATACCAGTGATCGATTGTTTACTATGAATGTAAATCGCCAGATCCCCTCCACTACTTAATTACTAAACACCCGTCCAATACATTATAGTTTCGAAATGATATTATCTTCATTATAAATGAAATCAAAGTTTTAAAAAATCTCCCAAGTGTGTTCGTACAGCACGTTAATTTAATCCAGTTAAGGTATTGTTTATATAGATCTGGTCTGTTATAAAGTTAGTAAATTTCTTAAGTATCTCTTACCCTACCTAGAACGCATCCTCGATATCAAGGGGTTACGCTCACTTTCGCTCGCTGCACCCCTGGAATCAAACTTGATATCCAGGGGTTACCCTCACTTTCGCTCTCTGCACACCTGGAATCGAACTTGATATCCAGGGTTGCGTAATCCCTGGATATCGAGGATGCCTAGAACGCAGATAATCTACTTTCTCCCACAATCGCTTTAAGTTTCCTCCATCCTGACTCATTGGATAAACCTGGTAGAAGTCGGGGTTTTGTTCTGTTAGTGTGTCTTGATTTGATTGTTAAGTTGTAGGCATCTGATATCACGAAGCAAACGCTTTGATTCGAATCCGTCCGAGTGCATAGTTTTCTGTGGTTTTTTGTGTGTTTTATTTTTTATTTTTACTATTGCATGTATACCTGATAGTTTTGAGCAAAATCCATCTGTGTATATTGGCAAAATCAACTTAAGTTTCGTTTGTATCAATAATAATTATAAACTAAAAAGAAGAAGAAAAATTACGTATAAATTCCATCTGTTGTTTCTGATCATGAAATCCAAACGTGATATATTGTTCTAAGCATTATTGTGAGCTGAATAGGTTTATAAATAAAAAAAAAAGAGTTTATGGTCCCTAATTTCGACTGATTCATTATTTTCTCGTTAACGAGACGGTAACCTTTTTTTATTTTCTACATGGTTCAATAGCTTAACATATGATTAACTTTAATTCTTCATCAGCTGCAATGTAACAACACTTTTCATTGGTTAATAACTTAATGTTATTGAACGATAGCCGATGTGTTTTCAGAATAATAGCGCGTGTGAGCTGTCTTTTCCTAGGTGGGACATGAAAAGGTTTCCTTTTCTCACACACTTCACAAGTGTATTCCCGTTTAAGATAAACCTGTCTTTACCTACCTATGGAGAGACCGCTCACACGTGCTATTATTGTGAAAACATCAAATGTTCGCATAGCTTCGTTAATAATTGACACATTGGTCGCCCTACATGAAATATCAGAAACAACGTCCTTTCCATTTTCTGAACACTCCAACCAAACATAAGTTGTTCACAATGTCTAGATTGTCAATAGATAGAACACACTTCATTCTGAATTGATTTAAAATCATATTACAGTAAAAAGGACATTATTAACGTCCTTTCCAAAAACAAATATAAGGTTCAACATTTAACAAATTTAAACAAGGGTCATCAATGAAAATTACATGTTAATTTGGTAACATTGTTCTCCGAGTGTGTTGGGATTTAATGTTTCTTCTTTTTCCGAATGTAAACATTTCTTGACGTGAATCCTGAGTTTTACCGATAGGAAAAAAGAGTAAAGTGGACACCAACATCAAAGCTGCTGTACAGTCATCAGCATGGTTTGGGAACAACTCGTTATTCTAAAAGTATAACCTTTACACTTTCAATCTGCTCTCAACAACCACTTTGGTGGAAAAACTTATTATACAGTAACTATTCATGAGATATCGGAATCTCGATCATGAATGATTAGTATCCTCCTTTTTACTATATATCATATAAGGACCTCTAACAGTAACATACGACCCTCCTCCTTTAAAGTAGATAACTTGATCATGTAATTACGAGTTCGAGTTAGCGGTTTCCTACTGTAATCATGGTGTAAGTCCTCTGTTTCAGTATACGTCTATCGACATGTATCTCTGCTGTATTTAATATACTTTCTAACGAATACACACGATGAAGGAAGGGGTGAAACGAGGGATCGGAGGAGAGGTGGTCTGGTTACGATAGATGTCCACTGGTTGGTTTCAAACCCTTTTGTTGATTTTGTTATGACTGTTACAGTGTAAGCTCAATTATGCTGTTGATATATGTTTGGAATGGGAGATCTGTATCTCCCCCTAGAGGAGTAATGAGACAGGGGACTTGCTGAATGTTTTGAAGATACGCGCATTTCATTACTATCACCATCATGACAGGTAAGTAAGAAACAGATGACCAAAAGTAGTATATCACTTTTAAGATATCTTCATTTACGTCTAATTTGTGCTAGAAGGGCCAAAAGATATCAGTTACCGGCATTATTCGTTAAAATGTTTGGTACAAATGATACTTGCATGATATTAATTTAATGAAAACGCTACTGCACAGTATTAACAACGTTATTGTGGTAGGATAAATGAATAGGTTAAATCATTCAGAATTATTCTGATACAATACAACCGTAGTTTAGTTACATTACATCATAGTTATCCCCTCATCATGGCCATACGATCATCATCATCATCACACAATGAGTACCTACAGCAGCACGACTCACAATTGATGTTGCTATCAGTGCTATTCGTATCAATATCAACCGAATTAATAACACTATCATTTTAACTCAGGATCACCAATCTGTACAAAACAAATGTCATCATTTACAAAGTCATTTAGCTCAGCACATCACCAGCACCCTCACTTTTACCATTATCGATATCATGCTAATATAAATGTCATTAACACTGCCACTAAACCACACTTCATCATCATTCATTTTCATAATGAGGAAGATCAGCATAACATTTTTTCTTTTAAATATCCTGTTACATGTGTACAAAGTTTGCGACTAACACACAACATCGTGTTTTATTTTTATACATATAACTACATGTACACTTGATTACAGAACCAAGGCATACACTGCACTTTATCTAAAAAAGAAAAACATCGACAAATACACCCAATTGTTTAAGTTTTCACTCACACACACACCTACACTCTATCAACAAAAAGAATCCCTGCAATTGCTATATCTCATGTATATAATATTGTTGAAAAAGGAAGGAAAGAGAAAGATAGATAACAGATACAGGGATGTTGACTTATATTCATATAGTACTTAAAAATATATTACTTTACAGAATCAGCAAAATATATTGCCAGAGTACTGTACTAATTTTTATATAACATATTTGAAATATTCAATACATAAACAGTGTGTATATGTGTGTTAGTTTGTGTATATAATTATAAGTACACTTATATTTAACATTAGTCCACACGCTTTATCAGCCGCATCCATTTTCCCCAGTATGTTGTAAATCTCTGCATATAGTATTCACCTTGTAACGTGGTCGGGTCTATCTCTATCAAGGCCTATGATTTGTAGTAAGATAGCCAACCCTTCACCCTTGGTCAATAGGGTCTCTTCTTAGCCCCTGGTCAATGGGGTCGCTTCCGCCTCTGGTAAGCAAGGCTACTCTAAACTGGATACTACTTTGAACCCACTCAGTGACAGTGAACAAACGCCAAATGAACAGTTCTATAATGTTTATTTATATACATAGGAGTACTGGAGCCATACGAGCATGACAGTTGCAAGGTTAATACAAGTCCATATCAACGTATCTCACTCTTGTTCTGTACAACTTCCAATATAGCTCAGTTTCACTATTATTCTGACTTATAAAGTAAATCTGACATATAGATATCAACAATAAACCTTATTTGTTTCAATTCTAGCAGTAGGAATTATATCTGACTGAAGTTCGTTACGGTTTCTAATGTAAACATTGACCTACATTTTATACGACTTTGACGTCACTTTACCATAAGCGATTACAGGGAAATCCCTTCTAAAAATAGTTTGATAGATAGATTAAATGACAATAGGCTATATCCCTAGGAAAAATAGGAAGTGAATCACGCTCGAACCTGGTAAGCGGTTCCGAGATCTTAAAACCGTGTGTACTCACCGGCTGCTGAGTCGTGACTGCCGATGTTTAGCAATAGTCCCGAAAATAACGGGACACCGTCCCGAGAAATTCACGTGCCGGGACTCTAATATGATTGGTTGACATGCACACAATGTGAAAATGTAAACTTCCGGCCTCGGACATGCGCACTGCATTACCGGAGAACAACATGTTGTCGAAATTAAACATATGAACAAGATCGACTGAAAATGACAAACTACACGACTAAATGACGACTGACCAGGTAATCCTTATAGATGCGACTAAACTATGATATATGTAAATGTTTAATTACCGCGATTCTCATTGACAACTATTATAAAGTACGTTATTATTGGAAACTAAAATGCTAGACGCACGTCTAAAATCGCCATGTGTCGGTAGTACTAAAGTCCGATTTAACAGAACGAGCCAACGATGCTGGGGAACACAATAACAATTAAAGATGGTCCTGAATATAAACAACGTTAACATAGTGGCGTTACATTACTCCCGTCACACTTGAATGTCCGCCCCGGACATTACACCTTTACAATAATACTTATGTTGAAAGATGAATAAATATAATTATGAACAATTAACCTCACATATATTGTTTGAATACTATGACACATTCTCACTAGAGCAAACAATGCAAAAATAACATAGCCCTCACTTATTAAAAACTCTCAACTATATGCACTTAACAATGTTAATTCTTTTGAATGGTATGTGCACAGTTACCATGTGTATCTAAAAATTTGACATGCTGACTGTATTTAACAGCAGATAAATTCAAACATTGGAACTCATATATATATTTAACTTGCAATTTCTAAAAAAAAAAAAAACTTACTTACTCGATACATCCAATATATTATAATAAACTTTGAAGTACACGTTTCGCATAATTTCATACTATTCACATTATCTACATTATGCATGAACTATTGTACCTTATTCACATCCATTTACCATATATACATGGTATACTTTCACCCAAGTACACACCATACTATATTCTGTATATTACAACTGTTATATAATTCTCCTCTTGATAATTGACTTTACCTAATCTGTGTTTCGCTTAAAGTAAACAAACTTTTAACAAGATTTCCAAACATTCTATACTAAATTCATTAGACTAGAATAGATAATAACTTTGTTCTTGAAATTAAATTAACGAAGTAAAGTAATACATATTAAAATGCTTTAGAATATGGACAAGCTGCCACAAATATATTTTTATATTTGAATTATTATGATAATTATTGTTTAAACCTACATGTAATATTTTTTTTTTTATATATACCTATAAATTAAAATCAGTTTGTCTGAGTGGCACACTC